ATATATCTATATTTTTTTATTATTTTTTTTTTTTTATTTTTACTTTTTATATATTATTAATTTATTATCTTCTATAAAAATTTTATTTTAAATTTTTTTTTTTTTTTTTTAGATTTTATTTAGTTTATTATTCATTTTAATTTTCTTAAATATTTATTTTTATTCCATTCATTTATTTATAATTTTTTGATATCTAAATAATAATTTTAAAGCCTTAAAAAATTTATAAATTTAAAAAAAAAAATATTTAAAATAACATATAATTAATTTAAATTTTTCTTTTTTTTTATATTTTTAATTTTCTAAAAATCTTAGGCATAAAATATTTATTTCATTAAAAAAATCCTATAAAATAATCATTATGAATATTTTTTTTTTTACTAAACTTATTTTTTAAAAAACAGATTTAAAATATAAAATAATTTAATTAAAATAAAATTTTTAAGTTAATATTTATTGAATATATAAAAATATATTAATATTTTTATTTATCCACTTTCTTTTTATTAATTAATTTTATTAAATATTGATTATATGCAACTATTATATCATTACTTTTGTTTTATTATTAACAATTAGCTATTTTTATATTAAATATCTTATGTCTTATAACTTACTTTTGTATTTTGCATTTAAATAAATTTTAAAATTCTATTGATATATTTTTATTTAACTTTTGCGCCTTAGTATTTTTTACGAATTATATTTTTATTAATTTTTTTGTATAAAAATATAATTATAGCATTTTTTTGATTTAGTATTGATTGTTTTTTGTTAAAATAAAAACAGAAAAAATAAATAAAAAAATATTATAAAATAAATATTATAATACAATTTTCGTAAATCTTTTTCAATTTAATATACACTAATGAAATAAATAATAAAACATTTTTTACAAATAAGGTCTTAATTTTATAAGTTCAATACTTAATGTTATATATTAATTAATTGTTATAAATATAATAATAATTATATATTTAAATTTGAAAGTATTAGTAAATTATAAATTTAAAATAATTTAAATTATTAACTTTATAGAAATATCTCTTATTATGAAAATATAGTATAGGCACTGCGATCCCATATATAATATTAAAAGATTAAGATTAATAATGAATACTAAATTTTAAATTATTTTATAATGTTATTTGTTTTAATAAAAAGTAAAATATAAATAATAATAATTATTATTACTATATAAAATTTAAAATATTATGCAAATTTAAATTAATAAGAATTATCTACTAAAATATATAAATTACAATCTTAAGATTTGCTAATTATTTTAAAATTAATATTATTATTCTATTTATTTTTAATAAAATCATTCTAATTATTTATTTTCAACTTTATTTAAAATCTAATTTAATTTTTATCATATATATATATATTTTCTTTTATTAGAATTTATATTTTATTTTTATTTTTATAATATTTATTTATGATTTATTTTTTTATCTATGATAATTATAAAATATTAATTTTATTAATTAAATAAAATAAAAAAATTGAAGAAAATATTTTATTTTTTAAAATGTACTCATATCTTATTTTTAAGATATTTTTATAATATTTTCATGTATTTTTTTATTCAAATTAAAACCATATAAAACTTTTTAACCAAATATAGAATTTTTACTGTTAAAGTTTTCACATTTCTATTAAAAAATATATTAAATATTTAAATATATATAAATTAATAAATATAATGATTTATTTTAGTTTTTTTTACAAGGCTATTAGATTTCTATTTTCAAAAATTTAATTTTTTTTAAATATAATTAATTTAATTTTTTTAAAAATTTATTTCTAAATTGATAATTAATATTTAATGTTTTTACTACACTTTTATATTTTTTGTTTAAAAAAATATAATGTATAAATAATATTTATTACTTTTTATTAAGGATTATATTAGATTCTATTGTTTAAATTATTATATTTTACTATTAATTAAATTTTGCTAATAATTTTCTGGCAATTTATTATACTTTTTTACTGTATTCAACCTTTTCATTATTATTATAATTTTAAACAAAAAAAATGTGTTTATATAAAAAAGAATAAATAAAAATACTTTATTTTTAATTTCTTCTTAAATTTGAATTGATTAATTTTAAAATTTAATTAGACAATCATATTTATTTTCATTAATTCAAATGTTTCTCTGAATGCAATTATTAAAAATTTATTTTTTGTAATTAATTTTTAGAAATAAAATAATAATTATTTTGTTTATTAAAAATCTCTTTATCTAAAATAAACTCTAAATATAAATCAACAATTTTATCAAACATATACATATTATCTTAAAATATTACATACTTTTAATATATATTATATATAATTAAACTAAAATTAGATTTTTTTATAATATCTATATATAAATGATAAGTATTTAATTTTAAAAATATATATATATTTTTTATTTTTAAGTAATTTTAAATCTTTCTAATTTTTTTTATATTAATTTTTTAATTTTTCTTCTTCTTAAACTTATTTTATTAACTATTTCATCATAATTTAAATATTAAAGTTATTTTATTTTTACAAGCTTATTTTTCTTTTAAATTTTTCAAAGAGTTAAAATTTCTCTCTATATGCTAAAAGAGTATTTTGATTTTAATTTTCAAATATAAATATTTTCAATTTTTTATTTAAAATTTATTTAAAATGATTTATAACATAAAGCTTATATATATTATTATAAACTTTCTTAAATTAATATATTAGCTATATAATTTAAAAAGCTATTAGTTTTTATAATTTTTAATTATATTAAATATATATTGATTAGTTTAATTAATTAAAATAATTTGAAAAATATTAAAATAAAAATTTATTTATACGTAATGTATATAAGTTTTTAAATTATCATATAAAAGAAAGAAAATTATATTTATCAAATAATTATTATTTGATTTTTTTAATAATATATTATTTAAGTGTATTAATATCTCAGATACTGTAAATAGAATTATTATAAAATAAAAATAAAACAAAAATAAATAAAAACAAATAAAATAAAAATATATATATAAAATAAAAGTATTTATTTGAAAAAAAAATATATAAAGATATATTAAATATTGAAGATAATTCTAATGAAATTTAAAGTATAGTGTTGCTTTTTTTATATTTAAAATTATAGAAAATTAAATGAAAATATAATTTTTAATTTTAAATTAAAAAAATTATGTAAATATATATAATTAAAAAATAATAATAAAAAAATTAATCAATTTAATATAATAAAATAAATTAAAAAAACTATTATAATAAAAAAATTTTATATAATTTATTAATATTTTTTATATATATTATTATTATTATTATATATTATTATTATTATTATTATTATTATTATATTATTTTTATTATATTATTATTATTTATATTTTTATTATTTTTATTATTTTTATTATTATTTTTATTATTTTTTAATTTTTTTATTTTGTTTATGATTTATTTTCATTGTGATTTATTTTGATTATGATTTACTTTATTATTACGATTATTTTATTAATATTATTAATAGTAATAATTTTAGTATTTTTATGAATTTATTCATTTTTTTAGTTTTTTTTAAAAAGTAGGTTTATAATTATTTTATATTTATTCTTAAAGAAAAATATTTTATTTTATTTTCATACATAAAGGTAATTTTAGCTTTAAAAAAAACTATTTCTTAGAATGATTTTTATAAAATATAAAAAGTAATATAGAATAATTTTTAGCCAAAATATAATCACAAATTAAAAAAAAAAAAAATTAATTAAAAAAAATATAAATATATAATTAAATAAAAAATATAGCATAAACAAAAAATAAACAAATTTAAATAAAATAAAAATTAATGTTTCTTTTAATATTTTATTATTACGTAAAATTAGAATTTTTTTATAAAAATAAAATAGTATTATTTTATATTAATTAATTTATATAAGGAATATTTTTTTATATATAATATTTCCTATTTAAATTAAAAGAAATAGTATTTTTAACAAAATAATTATATAAAATATATAAATATAAATACAAATTATAACCTAAAATAAATAAACAAATTAACATAAAAAAATTGATTAATAAAATATAATTATTATTATAGAAAGATATTTTTATAAAAAAATATTGACAAAAATATATAAAATTACGAATCATAACCAAAAATACATTAGAAATTAAAAAAAAAATCTAGTTTTAATAAAAATAAATATTTTATAGAATTATATTTTATTCTAAAATCTATTTATAATTTAAATAACTAAAATGAAAATGAATTATGTTTTTTATAAAAAAGTTATTATAAAGAAAATATTATAATCAAATAAAATAAAAAATAAAAATTCGAAATATTTAATAATAATAAAAAAAAAAATTAAAAATCAAATAAAAGAAAAATATATAACAAAATTTAAATATATTTTTTTTATTTTTATTTAGATAAGAAAGATATTTTTTTTTAATTATTATAAATAATTTATTTTTATTCAAAGATATTTTATTTTTATATTTTTTCTATAATTTAAGTTTCAAAATAAAAATATAATCTTAAATTAAGATTAAAAATAATTTAAATATTTAAATAGTAAAATTACTAACCATTTTTTAAAAATCTTAATAAAAAAAAAAAAATCTTAAAAAATTTAAAATATAAATAAATTATAAAATAAAAATATACATATTTTTTTTAATAAAAAATTATTTATAATTTATTTTTAGAAAGATATTTTTATAATTAGTATTCTTTTAATCTAAAAATTAATTTAATCTTATACAAATACATAATATGATTGAAATAAATGTTACCATAAAATAAAATTTATATTAAATATAATATATATATAACTTATTTGAAAATTAAGATTATAAAAAAAAATGTTAAGTTTATTTTTATAAATAAATACATTCTTTTATAAATGAACTTTTTATTACTTTTTTTTATTATTATTAAATTTTTAATAATTTTTTTTATTACAATAGAATACATTCATAATTATAAAACTCTTATAAAAAATAATACAGTCCTATAAACACACATAAAAAGTGAATTTGTTTATTTCATACATTATAAAAAGTTAAACTTGATAATAAAAAATATATAAAGTATTCCTAAAAACCAATATATAATTAAAAAATTATATATATTTTTTAATAAATCTATATGAATTTTTGTATTATTATTATATTAAGTTATATCATATATAAAAATTAGTTAAATTATAAAAGATATTTATTATTATAATGATATTTTTTTTATTTTTTTATAAAATATTATAATTTTTCTTTATCATTTTTTATAAATTATATATTAATTTTAATTAAGTTTTTAGATTTTATCTTATTAAGATTAATAACTGTTTTTAAAATGACAAATTTATTGCTTTTTTTAAACTATTTCTTGATTTTTAGAAGATAATTCGACTAATTTTCTTTTGTTTTATCATAAAGGAGTCATTTTTCTACTTTTAGGCTCTCTATTTATTTTAATAAAAATATATTCTAGAATTATTATTAGGAGAAAAACCATATAAAATATATAATATTAATAAAAAGTTAAATTTTTTTATTTATATTCATAAATTTATTAATATTATCTATATAATTATTTTTCTTTTTATATCAAATTATATTCTAATTTTTAATTTATGTATATTTTTTATTATTTGTTTATTTTTTTTGTTCAAATCATTATTTTCTTATTTTAATTTTTAAAATAATTATTAAAATCTTATATTTTATTTTTTAATATTAATATATATTCCCTCCCTTTTACAATAAGAATTTACTCGTTATAATCTTAAAAAGGAATTCTTTTATTTTAAATGATTTCTTTAATTTTGTAAGAGTTTATTTAACTTCGTAAGAGTTTCTATAATTTTTTAAGGGTTATTTTGAGTTTTTATTATATTAAAATTTGATGTATTTAATTTTAATGATTTTATTTTATTTTAAAATAAAAGGGTTAATATTTATTATTTTAAAAAATTTATTATAAGGAGTTTTTATTTTATTAAGGAAGTTTTTAGATATGAGAAAATTATATTTATTATTATTGCTATTATATTATTTAGTTTTAAGAATTTTATTTTAAATTAAAATGAGGATTATTATTATCATTTTATTATAATATAAATTAAGATCTAAATTATTTTCTGAATAAATAGACTTTTTATTATTAATTTATTCGAAAACGAAAGGTAAATTATATAGTTTGTGGATGATTCCGAATATTTTGGGGGACCTATATTATATAAAGAATATTCTTACTTATTATTATTATTTTAATAGTCTTAATTACTAATATTATTATTATTATTATTATTATTATTATTAAATATTTTAAATTATTTTTTTATATTCTAAATTATAATATTTTATTAATATTTAATAATGCAAATTTAAAACCTTTAAATTTATGTACAAAAATAAATAATTTTTTTAAACCAATTTCCTATTTATATAATTAGACATTGGTTTTTGCTTTTTGAATAATATAGTTTAGCAGTCTTAAAGAAAAAAGGTATACATATTGTTAATACATATTTGAGAAATTGTATTAATTAAATCGTATTATTTGAGTTGATAGTTTTGAATTTAAATATCTAAATAAAATATTATTGAAAATTTTTGTTTTAATTTATTGTTTTATTATTATAATGAATAATAGATTACTAGTATTTAATTTACAAGATTATAGTAAATTATTTATTAGCATATATATATATATATATAAATAAATATATATATATATATATTTTAATATTATTAAGTAAAAAATTATATATTAAATAACATTTATATTTTATTTATAATTTTTATTATTATTTATTTTTTAATATTATCTTCAATTAATAATATTAATTAATAAAAAAAAGATATATATTTTGCTAAAATTTTTTTTATCTTTTTTATAAATTTATTAAATAAATATTTTATTTAATAGTTACAAACATTGTAATACATATAAATGGTTTATAAATTTATATTTTAAAAAGTATTTTATATTAATTTATTTTAAAATATAAATAAATATTATTTATTTTTAATTTTAATTTTATATTGACATTATAATATGTATTTATTAACTTTTAAAATATTTTATATTTTTTTATTATTAATATATAACTAAATTCTTAAAAATAATGTTATATTAATGTTATAGTAATTTAAATATTTAAATAATTTTTTTAAAAAATAATATAATTAATTTATAGCTACTGCCTTTTAAATAAAATTCTAAATATTTTTTAATTAATTATAATCAATAAAATATTTTTTTATAGTTTAATCAATTAAAATAAATCAAATTAAATAAATATAAGACTACATATATAAACAAATAATCAAACTTTATTAAAAAATTATTTTTAGACCTATTTTATTTATTTTATTTTTGTTATTTATAAATCTTTATTGTATAAAGTTAATTTTTTCATTAAATTTATTAAAAAATATATACATATTCATAACAAATCATTATAATGATACTTATAATATTCGAATATTATAAAAAATCACTTATATATATTTATTTTATAAAACTTATTTTAATTTTTTAATATCCAAAAAATTTTATTATTTATTATAATATGAATAAATATATATTTTTTTTCGTTATAATTTATTCTTTTCTTATTTATCAAAATATCTCTTATTTATTAAAGTATTATATTTTTAGAAAATACATTTTTTATTTTTACCAAAAAATTACTTAAAAATAGAACATAATTAATTATATTTTAAAATATACTTAAAATAATATGATAATATAAATTTTATATTTTAAATTTTAAATGGATATTTTCAAGTATTTTAAAGAAAGTTAAAAGAAAAATTTTATAAAATTAATTTATTTATTCTATTAATTGAAATTTAAAATAAAAACATGAAGAATAAATATAATTTTTTTTTTTTTTGATATAAAAATATTTTACTTTGTTTGAAATATGCACTTAGGATTTTTTATTTTTTTTACTAAATTTAATAACATTTTATTCATATTATGATAATTTACTATATTTAAATAGAAATATTAAAATTTTTTGATTTTTAATTTTTTTATATAATTAAATAAATGTATATATATATTTAATATTTTTCTGCATGCTCACTCTAATTTTCATCTTTTTCAATTTTATTAAATGAATATAATATTCCTATAAAATTACTTTTTATTTTCCGTCTGTATTAAGTTTGTAAATTATATTGTAATAATAATATAAATTTTCTTTTATGATTAAATTTTAAACCTTTATAAAGATGATTATTAAAAATTAATATACACTAACTATTATACATACCTTGTATTACTTTTAAAATAATATTAAAAAATATATTATGTTATAATAAAAAGAAAATATTAGAAATTATAAATATTATTTTTTAAGTTATATAAAAACATTTTATAAATTTGTTATATATTTTTTTATAAATTATAAATTACTTCCTCCTTTTAAACAAATTGAAAAAAAAAATTATGATCATATAATTTTACACACTAATTTCATTTATGTATATATTAACATAATTATAATAATCAAAAAATACTTCCTATTTATAATTTAAAATTAAAAAAAGTATTATTAAAAATATAAAATAATATTACATCCTATTTTAAATTAATAGAAATACAAAAATAATTTTAACTTTCTATATTATGATTTTAAAGCTCATATTTATATAAAATAATGAGAAAATACAAGCTTTTAATATTTTAATCATAAATTTAATTAAATATATTAATACTCCCTATAATATATAAAATAAGTTAATAATAACATAATTAAAAATAATTCTTACGTTCTTATTATATCCAAAAATAATTATATACACTTGAAATAATAATATTATACACACTAAAAAATTTAAAAAATTTATTAAAGATATAAAATTATTAAATTTTACTAACTATATGATGTAATAAATAAATAAATTATAATCATTATTATTTACTTTTTCCATCTATTATAATACATTTATAAATAAAATATAACATTAATTATGATTTACTTTTTTTATCTTTATTAATAAATAGTCGTATAAATAAATTAATTATATATTGACATTCTTTTTTAATTATTATGATTATTATTAATTATTAATTTATAATTTAATATTTACTCCCTAATTTTTAAAAAAATATTATTAAAAGTTAATGCTTAAAAAATTTACATTCTTTTTATCGCAAAATGTTCATTAAAATTAATAAAGTAAAAGTATAGAAAATTACTTGCTATATTAAGTTTATTAAATAAGAAAAACTAATAAAAATTTAAATACAACTATCTATTTAATAGTAAAATAATATAAATAAAATATAATATTTTTTTTTTATATAATGAATCTAATTTTATTGTCTTTTAATTGAAGTATATATGTATATTTTAATATGAAAAATTAAAAGTTTATATATAGTTTATAAATTTTAAATAAGATAATTATTATTATTATACATATTTTTCATATAAACTCTATTTTAAAAATTATGTATCAATCATTATAAAGTAATTTATAAATAAACATTCTATTTTAAATAAATAAAAAAATGAAATAAAACTGTAAAGATATAAATTTACTGTCTTTTATTTAAATTCATTAAAAATAAGATAATATATGAAGAATTTACGCATTTCTAAAATTAATTTATTAATTAATTTATTAAAAGATTTACGCACTAAATTTTTTAATAAATTTAATTAAAAAAGATTTAAATTTAACAATTACATTCTATTTATATGTTTAATTTATTTAGAGAAAGTTTTTTTTTTTAATTTATTTAGAGAAGGTGCTTACGTTGCTCTTTATTATTAAGGATATATATTTATTTAAATTAGTAGATTTATTAATCATTTTACGTTCTATTTTTAATTTTATTAATAAAATCTTATGATTATTTTACAA